CGTTTGAACAGTGGTTTTCAAAAATTTTACCGAACTTAGAGGAAAACGCAGTAATTGTGTTGGATAATGCGCCTTATCATTCTCGAAGAATGGAGAAGGTCCCAACAACGGCTTCAAGGAAAGTTGATGTTCAAAATTGGCTCCGCTCGAAAAATATCAACTTTGAAGAAGCAATGCTGAAAGTACAATTATTAAGAATTGTCAAGGATCACAAGGCGGAATATCAAAAATACGCCATTGACGAAATGGCAGCAAGTCAAAATAAAACTGTGCCCCGTTTACCTCCATACCATTGCGAGCTGAATCCCATTGAGCTCATACGGGCAGAGGTTAAAAATTATATAGCTAAGCACAATACAACTTTTAAATTTTGTGACCTCAAAGGACTTTTCAAAGAAGCACTAGAATTAATAACAGCTCAAAAATGGGAAAACTGTATTAAGCACGTGAAAGACAAAGTTGAAAAGAGAATGTGGAAACTGGACAATAGTTTAGAGGAACAAGTCGAGCCATTCATTATTGACGTTGGTGCTTCAGGCAGTAGCGATGATGAAAGCTCATCAAGCTCATCTTTCCAATAAAAGATGTCGTTCATCAAATTCGGTAAGTTATAAGTAATTATAAAGCTACTGTATTTTTTAATTAATTATTGACATTTTTGAACCCATTTTGGCAAAACCTATTCAAGAATCTACTTTCTGACAATGTTCAACCATGCACATTTTTTTACGTTTTGAACGTTTTAATTTGGTTACATATTTACCTAGAAATCAAAAAATATACTAATCAATATTCTAAAAGCAATTTTAAGAGATATACGATTATTTTTAATTTAGGCTAATTTAAACGCCATTTTGAGATTATATTCGACTGTATTTCACCAAACATCAGGCGGCATCCGAAGCTGGAAATCGAAGCGAAAATTTTGAAACCCTTATGTATATTTACATCATTATATATTTCTTACCCCACCCCCACATGATCCTATATCCATCACCAATCGTATACACATCGAATTGTGCTAATTTACTACAAAGTTACGCAAAGCAGCATCTACTATCTAAAATATGTACTGCGTGACTCTTAATACGTCCCTGCCGAATGTTACAGCGTTCGATGATCACGTGGTCTTGTTTATGTCCGGTCTATCTCTTATCTGAATATACTGTAGAACAGAAAAAATGGTGCCTCACATGTCCAAAAGGGCAACGTTACTTAGAAACAGGTCCCTAAAGGACGCTACTGGAAATCGTTCATAACCCTTGACCGAACATGTGCCATTCAACGAATTTTTGATAGTTTAGTAACCAATTAGGTATGTAATTTCTAGAACATCTAATTTTCACCTGAAAAAATGTGCTCTGGATTTCGATGAAATGAGCTAATTTTGAGAAAAACTGTTTTTTGTATTGGTTCACTATGCTGGTTTCATCATTTCGACGCTAGGGTAATTCTAATTACAGATTCATAATTAGCGATCCAAAGACTCCGGTTAAATTTTCATATCAATCAGAATGTTTGGGTCGTCGAACAGTGTAACTCTGTAGGAATAGTTTTGAAACAAGCCTTTTTCAGAATTCATTTTTTCAGCAAAAAGACTAAGCGTTTTAAAAATATCATGTCGATCCATTATCCCGTTCCTGCCAATCCAAACGAGTTATTCGTTCCACAAGGACACCGTGGTTGTACGTATAAACGATTGGAAAATGGGGTGATTGACACCTCTGATATGAATACATACCCCGACGCTTCCCACCATGATGAAATGGGGGATTTTAGCCGCTATGTCTTAATTCTGGAAAATGTCGCAGTTCAGGCAGAAAAGGTCAAGCTTTTCTGCCTGTGAAAGATTTCCCGTTCAAAGTCAAGATGTTAGATACTGTTAAATGATTTAATAACGTCGACGCTATTTGAAAAGCTTTATTAGTTCATTAAAGTATAAATAATACAGAGTTATACGAAAAAAGAAATAGTGAAGAATAAAAAAATAGATACTAACATAACTAATGTATGGCAGTGGTGCAATATACATCAAGAATTATTGAATGACGTTAATGACAATTTTTGACAGGTGTATTCATTGTTATGGGGTCATCATTAACAGAATCTTCACAAACCCGTTGACTCGATCAAAAAAAATATTTGACCCTAATGTAACTTACCATCTAGATGATTGTGTTTATCAATATAGTCAAAATCGCGAAAGATGACGATTACGTCATCATTTTAGTCTGCAGTAAAGACAAACGACAGCGATTTGTGAATAGTTTTAATGAAGTTTCAAATATGCTAGACAGAGACAAACAGAATCTTATTAAACTGTATTGCTAATTTGCATGTATCCAACAAAGACAGACGATGTTTTCATGTTTATGATCGATCATATGTTGAAAGATTAATAGTTAGGTTATGTTAAAGCAGGTTAGATTGTTTTCGAATGATACTTTGGTCTTCGGTGTTAATGTCGCAAGGCGTATTCTACTCATAACTTTTTTCTTTTCAAAACAAAAACTCCTCACTAAAATTATTACTAAGGTACCACTTAAAACCGTGAAATAAAATAAAAATAATCAGTGAAATAACCTAACTTCACAAAAGCATAATATAAATTCATGACATCGTGATTTTATCAACGACGTACGTCCATTGATTACTTCAGTACAATTTATGGTATGACGTAATAGTCATCTTTCATGATTTTGAATATGTTACATATTATATTGTACAACAGTTTTATCAAGCAAACGATGCAGGAAAATATGTTTGCCAAGTATGCCAGTTATTAAGAAAATATATGATCGAATTCTTCGTTTGTGCATAAACCTTTAATAAATATTAAATATATAAGGTGTTAACCTTTATATTTGAAGGGTACAGGGGCAAAAAAAAACGTCGCAAAAATGCAAAAATGTGATAATGATGGCGACATCTGCATTTTCCTGTGTAATTTCATTGGGTATGAATTAAAAAGTGTAAAAAACAGTGTAGTCCATAATTTCACCCACGTTTCGAAACGTAGTGCAGGCACTAAACAGGGAATGTCCTTAATGTAACAGAACGTAAGAAGGCATGTCCACCTGTCAGTCGCCAAACAATTAACTTTGAGGTTAGGCAAAATCGACAAATTACACCATTTTGTACCACGGTGTTGTTTATGAGCTAAGGATTTTAGGTTTATTAACAGTACGGATGTTTGCTACAAGGCCTTTTTGTCCATATTTGGAGTCAGCAAAAAAATTGAGCACCTCTTAAAGTCATTGAAATCAACAGGCAATGTGCCATTTTAACCATCGTACCGCTCTGACGAATAATGACGAATAGTAGGTAATAAAAGAGGCAAATCAGGCTCTCACAAAAAGTTAAACCGTGATGTTAAACAATTGTAACCCTACTAACTCATTCAAAAGAAGACAAAGCCACTACGTTTGACTGATACCAAAAAATAATATTTACCTGAAGACCTGAATATAAAAAAAAATTAAGATGTATTCGTATCAATACCCACAACCTGAAAATAATGTATCTTATTAAATCTGCATAAAAATATTTATCACAGAATTTAACATATCAGTCGGTTACGCACTACCCACGTACCGATACTTGTAGCAGTAGTGATGAATTTCAAATAAAAGCCAAGGCACTGATGGCGGAAGAAAATAATGATCAGCTGAAACGTTTAACTATCCTGAACAATTTGAAGAATAAGACTCAAAAATTTTATGATACGAAGAACAATGCTAGAATCAAAAGCAGAGCTGAAGCTGAATTTCAAGCTATTGCCATGGTCTATCAAAAAAATGTCTCACTGTCAAACCTCACCACTAATGATGTGTATTATAAATGTCAGTTGTCAATGTACTCATTTAATTTACATGTCTTGAGTGATGCTAGCTCCTACTCCTACTCCTGAAATAGATTTAGAAGAAATAGTTTTATTCATGTTTCACTACTTGACAAATTAATTTGATCGTCGCGTGAATCATTTGGAAATATATTGCGACTCAGCAGGTGGCTAGAACAAGAACTACACTGTAGTGAATGCGAAAAAAATATGGACTTAGTTAATTTAAATTTTTCCTTGAAATAAGTCTACAAAGGCCCAAACCGTTTGATGTGATTGAAGTGGGGACCGGTGAAATCATCAGGAAGTTAACTAACTTTTTCCAAGATATGTACTTGGAAAAGAATCTTTTCCAATCCAGTCACAAAGAGAAATAATGGGCAAAACAGGTCATCTAGGATTAAATTTGCAACGAAGTAACTGCAATGGTTTGTGGGGAAAATTCACCTATACTGCATAGACAAAGAATAATCCTGCACGAATCTTCATGTAACAATCAGTTTGAATTACTAGATTTTGCATACAAACATTATCTACCCATTAGTGCAGAGAAGTATGAGGACCCCATATTCCTGAAAAAATTGTGTTCTGCTGGAGCTTAAGCCTTTTCTGATAGCATTACTCATGTATAATTAGTAACATTAATTAGTATCAAAGATTCTTTGTTTTGGATGTGATGGACATTCCTTGTTTTTGTACTTCAAATCATTAAACTACTTTAATTTTTTATTACATTTACAATTAGTTATCTGTGCATAAGTTTTACAAGTGCCTAACACTAAGCCTTATAATGTAAACTTAAGTTCCTATTAACTACTTGTAGAATGAATTGATAATCAAAAAAGTTATCGACTTTCAAATATTAAAATCTTAATTACACAAAACTTGGTCTTTGTGGCATTCCATCTTTTGCCCTTGTACCCTTCATTTCATACTTCATTGTAGTTGATGTTCTTTTGCTGTTTCCGCTCTAAAATCAAGTAACCTTTAATCTGTCGAACAGATAGTATAAGACCCCAGGACTGCCAGACGTTACTTATTTTCTCAAAAACTCGGTGGATAAGCAAATGCAGTTTTAAAATAGTCTCCAAATCTCATAATCAAAATATAATGGGTGATTTTTTTGCTAGTATCTTTTTGGCAACACTGTTTTTGACAGATGACGCTTGTGACTAAATTTCGAACCCAGTTTACATTATTGGACATTAAACCACCAACACGCAGACGTAGAGTGAGGACTGAAGAAAATATTGCGGCTGTATCCGCCAGTGTTAGTGATGACCGTGAAATGTCGATTCGCCGCCGTTCGCAGCAATTGGGCTTCTGTTACTCCACTATGTGGAAAATTTTGCGACAGGATTTGGGTGTCAAACCTTATAAGATACAGCTGGTGCAAGAATTGAAGCTTCACGACCTCCCACAACGTTTCCAATTTGGTGAATGGGCGCTGGCAAAGTTGGAGGAAGATCCACATTTTTATCGAAAAATTGTGTTCAGCGACGAAGCTCATTTCTGGTTGAATGGGTACGTTAACAAGCAAAATTGCCGCATATGGAGGGAAGACGAGCCAGAAGCATTGCAAGAGCTACCAATGCATCCCGAAAGAATCACTGTTTGGTGTGGATTATGGGCCGGTAGCATCATCGGGCCGTACTTCTTCAAAGACGACAATGGCCGGAACGTAACTGTGAATGGCGAGCGCTACCGTGCGATGATAACAAACTTTTTTTTGCCCAAAATGGAAGAGCTGGACTTGGTTGACATGTGGTTTCAACAAGACGGTGCCACATGCCACACCGCACACGAAACAATGGCCCTATTGAGAGGCGAGTTCGGTGAACAGTTTATCTCACGTTTGGGACCCGTCAATTGGCCGCCTAGATCGTGTGATTTAACGCCGTTGGACTATTTCTTGTGGGGCCATGTTAAGGCTAATGTCTACAGGAATAAACCAGCAACGATTGACGCACTGGAAGCCAATATTGAAGCATTTATTCGTGAGATACTGGCCGATATGTTGGAGAGAGTGTGCCAAAATTGGACCTTGCGCATGGGCCACCTAAAGCGGAGCCGCGACCAACATTTACATGAAATAATCTTTAAACATTAAATTAGATCGACCGTTCTATTGACTCAAATAAAGATTTAATCGTTTTTTGTGTTTTTTTGGAAACCAAATCCTATACCTCTTAAAAAATTACCCACTATAATAGATGCCAACACGAAATTTATGGCGGTGTGTGATACATATCAAAAGACAAAAACGATACAATATACTCTCAAAACTTGCCTGTAATATGGATGTAACAGACAAGGCCTATTCTATATAAATAAAGTGTTTTTTTTCTACAAAGGTAAAACGTATTACAAATTAGAAACTAAAATTGTAGCCTTTCTTAAAACTCAAAAGAAAAAACACTAGACTGGTGAGCTTAAGACATTGAAAAAAAACCATCGTACTTAGCATAAAAAGTAACATGAAATAAAAACTAGAATCCATACTAACACTTATCTCAAGGTACAGTCATTAACCTGAATTTGAAACGCAATATGACAGGCTCACATCATATTATATTTGCATGTTTTTTCATGTACCGTTACAGCACTTATTGGTCCAATAAATGTGCAACCTCTAAATTTTTTTCGACATGGTATATTCATATGGCGTACTAGGTTTTCGAGTGCAAAATTTCTTGAAGATCGCATGAGGTTTCTGCAGATAGGACATATTTTGTTACCATTTTTTTCATTGCATGTTCCGCAAACTGAGTGACCATTTTGGCAAAGATAAATCTGATCTGTCATATAATTTATGCAAACCGGACACTCTAAATATTCTGGAGCATTTCCAGCAGGGGTTTCCGTTTCATAAACCGTTATGGTATAGAAAATGTCAGTTTCCAAATTTCGCCTTACATTCACAGGAATTTGGTTTGTAATCCAATTGCATTTATTTTCGTGCAGTTTTTTGTCACACTTCTGATACAGGCAGTTAACACAGTGAAATCTATCGCGATAAAGATTTATGTTTCTTCCGTGTATTAACTTAGTTATGGTCAAATCGAAATTTGGAACCTCGATTTCCAATCTTATTTGTAAAGTATTCAATAATTTTTGGTCATAGTCCTGAGGTGACACTAAAAAGACATTGTAGTCAAAATAAAGAATGTCAGCCTTACGCTCTAATCTGATGAAAAATAGAAAAACGAATTTATCAAAAGCGATGCAATTTAAACGGACTATGAGGTCCAAAGTACCTGATAGTTGATGTTGTTTCGGAGATTCTTGATAAAACGACTTATGATATGTTTTCATGTGCTCGTTTAAACCTTGAAGTGACATGGTCGTTGTACAATTCCCGAAAGGACAAACTACAGTTCTTTTCTTGCAGAAAACTTCATGCTTGAACACTTGCCCCCAAGCCAGGGAATCTTCACATTTAAATATACAAGGAAACAAAACTCTTTCTGCCGCTTCTTCAAAGGAACTGTTTGGAGCTGCCTTTGGACGACAGCGGCCGCAGTAGAAATATCCTGAAAAAAAGTGTGTTGACTAGAATTAGAGCATACCAAGCAGTGAATCAAAATGTTTAATAGTAAATAGTAGTACATATTCTCATTCCTCAATAACCTGGTAAGTAACATTATTTCTTATGAGCAATGTTAACTGTATTTCAATACTAAATTTTCCTAGCGATAAGTACCACTCTCCCACTTTCAGCCCACGGACTCTGTGCGGGAAAGTAGCTATTAGGGGTCGGAAACCGATATCGAATATGCCGGCAGGGGTATTACGTATCTTGAAAAGTGTCATTGATGATTTTTTTACATTATGCAGGGTGTCCCAGAAGTCGACGTCAAGCCGAAACCGGGTGAGGCAAAGTCATAACAGCTATCAGAAAAATATTTAAAAATATTTTATGTATGTGTTTTGAAAATTATAGGTCTTTGAAAAAGATATAGAATTTTCACACCCTAGGGCAGTCTGTCAACTCTTGTTACTACAAATATTAACTTTTTTTGGATTTTATTTTTACAATGTAATGATGAATAATGCATCTTCAAACTGGTGTCTCAACCTTACTGCCAACTTTTCTTGTTCAGGAAAAATTGGCACTTATTTCCCAACCAAGTATTCCAAAGTAAAACTTCGCTAACTTTAACTGGCTGTACTGGAAAAAATGTACTACGAGAGTTTGGTAAGTAACCTTAAAAGTTGGCGCATTTAATAACGATTCCAAAATGTTATAACACTTAGAAGATTACTCGTTAACTTATGCACAATTATTTTTATTTGAAAAAAAACTGATGAAAAATTTTCAAAATTTCCTAATTAAACAGCGATTATGAAAACGCACAAGGACCCTTAAGGATGACTGTTTGCACAACAGTGGGCGTCAAAATGCTGCTGATGATGATTTACCTTTACAGCAAATGCTCAGACTGTTTTCCTTCAGCCGCAATACACGCTCGACATCTTCTTAAAAAAGATCGGGTTATTAAACGAGCGAATCCCCGGTTATTAACAAACTCAGCTGCTTCCAATAGTCTTTGCCGTAGCTCAGCTACATTTTGAATTGGCTTGAAATACACTTTTTCTTTTACAGTTCCCCAGTAAAAAAATCTAAAGGATTAAAATCAGGTGGCTGGCCACGGTACCACGGTATTGTACCAGACCGCCTTATCCATCTGCCTGAAAAGTTTTGATCGAGATACTCTCTCACTGAGAGTGCATAGTGCGCTGGGCAGCCATCATGCTGAAACCACATGTCCCTGTAAATACTCAGTGGCACGTCCACCAATAAATTTTGTACATGATTTTTCAAAAAATCCAAATAAAATGCAGCAGTCAAAGTCTCTGGGAACTCAAACGGACCGATTATTTTACCATTTAAAATTCCTGTCTAATGGTTTATCTTGAAGCGATATTGAGATTTATCTTCTCTCATCAAATGTGGGTTTGCTACGTGCCACTCGTGTAAGTTATGCAGGTTCATGTACCCCATCTTTCTTAAATGTGGTCTCATCCGACCATAAAATTTTTTCAAAGAACTGTGGATCTTTCCTGTGTCTTTCTAACATTGTGCGACAAAAAGCAACTCGGGGCTCATAATCCCGGGGCAGGAGAGGTTGAACACGCTGTATGTGGTATGGATGAAGCACATCACTTACTTGCTATTGCACACTTTGATACCGATCAGTACTCCTTAGTTTACTGCGCATCTTTACATGTTCGTGCTTGTTGATATCGTACTGTTACTAATTTTGGATTCGTGAACTGGACTGTTGATCGCTTGTGATTTGGATTTGGACTGTTTAATTGCTCTTCAAAACAACATTTGCTTTCCTTAGACTATCTTTGATAGTGTGATTGTGCAGTGCCGCTATGTCCGTGTACACCGTACCAGAATATGCTAACATGCACCTCATTTATGGGGAATGCAGATGCAACGCTAGTGCTGCAGCGAGACTTTACTGTGAGAGGTACCCGAATGCAGCTCGTCATCCAGATCATCGAGTGTTCACAAATGTGCACCGCTTACTATGCTCAGAGGGCGAACTACCAAACCAATCACACGGTGAGGGAAGGATCTTTCCTTCCTTACGAAGTCGTGGTGCTAGGAGCTGTCGAAGAAGACCCGAGTACTTCAGTGCGTGCAATAGAACTAAAAACAGGTGTGCCCAAAAGTACAGTCCATAGACTCTTGCAAAAAAACGTGCTCCATCCATACCACGTACAGCGTGTTCAAGCTCTTCTGCCCCGAGATTATGAGCCCCGAGTTGCTTTTTGTCGCACAATGTTAGAAAGACACAGGGAAGATCCACGGTTCTTTGAAAAAATTTTATGGTCAGATGAGACCACATTTAAGAAAGATGGGTACATGAACCTGCATAACTTACACGAGTGGCACGTAGCAAACCCACATTTGATGAGAGAAGATAAATCTCAATATCGCTTCAAGATAAACCATTGGACAGGAATTTTAAATGGTAAAATAATCGGTCCGTTTGAGTTCCCAGAGACTTTGACTGCTGAGGTTTATTTAGGTTTTTTGCAAAAACATTTAGAAAATTTATTGAAGGACGTGCCACCGAGTTTTTACAGGGACATGTGGTTTCAGCATGATGGCTGCCCAGCGCACTATGCACTCTCAGTGAGAGAGAATCTCGATCAAAACTTTCCAGGCAGATGGATAGGGCGGTCTGGTACAATACCGTGGCCAGCCCGGTCACCAGATTTGAATCCGTTAGATTTTTTACTGGGGAACTGTAAAAGAAAAAGTGTATTTCAAGCCGATTCAAAATGTAGCTGAGCTACGGCAAAGACTATTGGAAGCAGCTGAGTTTGATAATAACCGTGGATTCGCTCGTTTAATAACCCGATCTTTTTTAAGAAGATGTCGAGCGTGTATTGCGGCTGAAGGAAAACAGTTTGAGCATTTGCTGTAAAGGTAAATCATCATCAGCAGCATTTTGACGCCCACTGTTGTGCAAACAGTTATCCTTAAGGGTCCTTGTGCGTTTTCATAATCGCTGTTTAATTAGGAAATTTTGAAAAATTTTCATCAGTTTTTCTACAAATAAAAATTGTGCATAAGTTAACGAGTAATCTTCTAAGTGTTATACCATTTTGGAATCCTTATTAAATGCGCCAACTTTTAAGGTTACTTGCCAAACTCTCGTGGTACATTTTTTTCCAGTACAGCCAGTTAAAGTTGGGCAGTTTTACTTTGGAATACTTGGTTGGGAAATAAGTGGCAATTTTTCCTGAACGAGAAAAGTTGGCAGTAAGGTTGAGACACCAGTTTGAAGATGCATTATTCATCATTACATTGTAAAAATAAAATCCAAAAAAAGTTAATATTTGTAGTAACAGGAGTTGACAGACTACCGTAGGGTGTGAAATTTCTATATTTTTTTCAAAGACCTATAATTTTCAAAACACATACATAAAATTTTTTTAAATAGATAGCTGTTATGACTTTGCCTATCACCCGGTTTCGGCTTGACGTCGACTTCTGGGACACCCTGTATAGGTGTTTTTGCGAAGTTATGTGGGTTTTTCTACAAAATCTAATTGTTGTTCACTTGGTGTGCACTCGGTCTCTAGCTGTACGTGTTGCCTAAACGTCACGCTTCAACTATCAATGTTTGGTTCTGATGTGAAGTAGCATCTGCTTCATAGATGGCATTATTGGAGGTCTAAGCTGTAAGTTGTATGCTATAGCTGGAAGGAAACGGCAGTGCATATGTGCATAGTGAGGATTTGTGTGCTAATAACACTGGTGAACAAAATTAAAATAATTTATTGTGACACGGACAAAAAGGTGGCTATTATGTAAAACGTACCCAAACAGTCGGAAATAGCATTCGATTTTTTCTATCGCCCACGGTTTTAACTTGCAATAAGGCATTTTATTGGCTGCTTATACTCGTAAAATATAAGGCTATGCGTGTAAGAGTACCAATAAACGCTCGAATAAGCATTAATTAAACCTGATTATGTCCCAAGCTGCTTCCGCAAATGCTCAAGTTCGGCTGTTCTTTGGGGATTTGAAAGATATTCCGGGATTTTTTAATAATTCTCCTTAACGCGTAGAGGTACTGAATATAATTGTGGGGAAAAAAATTCCCCAAGGAGCAAAAACTCGTTGGAATTTTAATATTCGAACAATAAATGTAGTGTTTGAGAACAGAGAGTCACTCATTGAATGCATTGAAGAAAATTTCACTAATGAAACCGTTTGCAAGGCAGCTTGCGGTATTCGCCGTATGTTAAACGATTCTGTTTTCGTGTTTTGGTCGACATTTTTTCATCATGTCATGTCTCAAGTCGACATCTTTTTCAACCAGTTGCAGAAGAGAAAAACCGAGCCAGCGCAAGTTAAAACGGCTATCGATAATTTTGAAAAATGTATTGTCGATGTGAGAAATAAAATTGATGAGATAATAAATGAAGCCAAAAGTATTTGCACTGAACCCCAAGGCAACAAAAGGAGACGACGTAATAATAGCAGTCACGATCACCGACTTGCCGCATTAGAAGTATGCGGCAATATAGTGAATTCTGCAAACGACAGATTTCAATTCAAGGATCATTTGGTAGCCGCATCCCTTTTTCCCCGAACACTTTGGAGAATACTGTGGTAAGTTTCCTGATGACAAGTTGGAAACTACCTGGTTGGCTTATCCCGAATTAGAAAAGAGTCGTTTAAAGACAGTTGTCTGTTATTTATGCACGGAATGGTGGCCGAGATTTACATGGAACATGTCTCTTTTGAAATTTTTGATGCAAAATGGTTTTGAGGAAACACTAAAAGAAACAAGAAAGCTATTAGAAATTATTGTTACAACTCCTATGTCAACATCAGAGGCTGAGCGAAATTTCTCAACATTGAAAAGAATCAAGACTTTTCTTCGTAATACTATGACCCAGGATCGCCTTACAGCGTTGTCGATGCGGTCCATTGTAAAGGAATTTATTTCGACCATGGAAAATTTCAACGGGAAGGTGAACGACAAATTTGCGGCCA